TGAGGTACTCACTCCCTCGGTCTTCTTCTTCGAGGCTAAAACACTGATTACCTCACTGTTAGAAGCTCAGTGGTGCTCCAACAGCGTGCGAATGAATATCGTACAAATTACATGTGTATTAATAAATTAACGTCTGGCCAACGTAGAGTGTGTTGCTCAGTACCAGTGATGTAGAGTCTGTTTATGAAGTTCTGGCTGATTCTAGCTAGGCCAGTGAAGGTCTGTATTCTGAAACATTAATGTTGTGTTTAAAAATAGAGAGAGTGGTGCAACGATGACTCTGCATTGTTATTATATGCCAGGAAGCATGTACGTATTCTCTGATATATGTCACTCCTCTCTGTACTTTATTTAGCACACCGGCCGTCTCCCACCCAGGCAGGGTGACCCGACGAAGAGGAAGAAGCACTTTCACTGTCATTCTGCCAACTGTCTTGTCTAGACAGAAGCATGCCAAGATCACACCTCAAATAGCACTGAACTACAACATCCCTCCTTCAAATTGCAGGTGCTGTACTTATCACCTGCAGGACTATGGGATGGCTGAATTCCTTTCCAATCCTTTCTTTGCTCTCCCATATATTATTTGTGTTATCCCGCTCTGTGATGATGAGGATATCTTCGTAAGAAAATATCTGTTTCTACTGTGTATGAAATAGAGCATCCTGAGAGATGGTAATTCCCAAGTGATAGTGACTTCAGCTCTGCTGGAACGGAACCTGTGAAACTGCCGTAGCTCATGAACCTGTACTGGAATACTTGACGATGTCTTCGTTGTCCTACTGAAGTCTCCAGCTCAGGGACCACACATGTCAAGACTATGTATGATGGAGTATTATCAGAAGAAATGTAACTTGCTATTATTCCCACTGTGTAACTAGTGAATGTATCCCACTGTGTAACTAGTGAATGTATCCCACTGTGTAACTAGTGAATGTATCCCACTGTGTAACTAGTGAATGTATCCCACTGTGTAACTAGTGAATGTATCCCACTGTGTAACTAGTGAATGTATCCCACTGTGTAACTAGTGAATGTATCCCACTGTGTAACTAGTGAATGTATCCCACTGTGTAACTAGTGAATGTATCCCACTGTGTAACTAGTGAATGTATCCCACTGTGTAACTAGTGAATGTATCCCACTGTGTAACTAGTGAATGTATCCCACTGTGAAACTAGTGAATGTATCCCACTGTGTAACTAGTGAATGTATCCCACTGTGTAACTAGTGAATGTATCCCACTGTGTAACTAGTGAATGTATCCCACTGTGTAACTAGTGAATGTATCCCACTGTGTAACTAGTGAATGTATCCCACTGTGTAACTAGTGAATGTATCCCACTGTGTAACTAGTGAATGTATCCCACTGTGTAACTAGCGTGTAGAATGAGGTATCAGGACACTGCGAATGTATCCCATTTTACTAAATTAAAAAACATCATTCTCCTTTTCCTCTCTCCCCCTACTCTTCCCCTTCCCCTCCCCCCTCTACTCCCCATCTTTCCCTCCCCTGCCTGCCTCCCCCACTCTCGGTACTCACAATCAGGGAAGAAGAACCTGATCTCCCGCTGTGCTGAGTTGACGGAGTCTGAGCCGTGGGCAGCGTTGTGGAAGTCATTGTTTGAGTTACCAAACCTGGCCCTGATGGACCCAGGGGCCTCGTGCCTGGCCCTCGACACCTGCGTGGGGCCCAGCACTCTCCTCCAGTGATTGATGGCGTCGTCTCCTGGTGCACAAACCAACACCAAAAACTTTTGTCACTACCATCTTCAACACCAGATAAACACTTTGATTATCATATATTATTATTATTATTATTATTATTATTATTATTATTATTATTATATTTTATTATTATTAATATTTTATAATAATAATATTAGATATTATTATTATTACTATTATTATTATATATTTTTTATAATAATTATTATTATTAATTATTATCATTATCATGGGGAAGCACTCAACCAGCAGGGGTCACGCAGCGCCTGGAAAAGTCACAGCAGAAAAAATAACAATATAAACCAATACTAAATCTACTACCTAACTAACTAACCTAATCTATCTAACCTAACCTAATCTAATCTTATCTAACCTAACTTAACCTAACCTAACTTAAATCTAATCTTATCTAACCTAACTTAACCTAACCTAACCTAAATCTAATCTTATCTAACCTAACTTAACCTAACCTAACTAAATCTAATCTTATCTAACCTAACTTACTAACCTAACTTAAACTAATCTTATCTAACCTAACTTAACCTAACCTAAATCAACTTAATAAAATCTACTAACCTAACTTAATTAATCTTATCTGGCCTAACTTAACCTAACCTAAACCTAACTTAACACTGAATATACATGCTGTGCCACATTATTAAGTAAGATATTTTCAACCTGTACATGTCATGTATTGTCTTTGCTGAAGAAATTTAATAAAACGTGATGTTTTTTTTAACTTCTATAAATTGTCAACGTGTACAAGTCATGTACTGTCAGTTAATAACTAATTTAAAACATTTGGTGTTTAAATATTTGTTATTTAAATGTTTGGTATATTTTTCAAGCGATTTATTTCCCCTAGCCAAAACTGTGACTCTATTAGGTGGCCCGGTGGCCTGGTGGCTAAACAGCTCCCGCTTCACACACGGTGGGCCCGGGTTCGATTCCCGGCGGGTGGAAATTCCGACACGTTTCCTTACACCTATTGTCCTGTTCACCTAGCAGCAAATAGGTACCTGGGTGTTAGTCGACTGGTGTGGGTCGCATCCTGGGGGACAAGATTAAGGACCCCAATGGAAATAAGTTAGACAGTCCTCGATGACGCACTGACTTTCTTGGGTTATCCTGGGTGGCTAACCCTCCGGGGTTAAAAATCCGAACGAAATCTTATCTTATCTTATTTCCTGTGATTATTTTTTCTGACACCGATTTATTTGACCTTTGTTATGTCAGGTGGGTTGTGGCTGGGCTGCATTTGGCTGTTTATGAGATCAATGTTGCATTTGGTCGAGACGTGAGCAAATGTACGTTTGCAACATTAGGTTTATTGATAACCTAACATTGGTGGGGTGACCTTTGACCTAAGATGTAGCTTAATATACGTGGGATAACCTTTGACCTAAGATGGCCTGAGGCTGTAGGATCTGCCTCGCGTGGGCCAGTATGTCTACCGCGGAGTTCCACTTTCTTCACGTTTCCCTATGCAAAGAGTGACCACCCCTTTAACCTCTGACCTTACCTGTTAGAAGGAGGGCCAGCACTTACCCCGAGGTGACCTCTAACCTTACCTGCTAGAATGAAAGCTAGCACTTACTCCCCTGAGGTGACCTTTGACCTTACCTGCTAGAATGAAGGCTAGCACTTACCCCAGAGGTGACCTCTGACGTTACCTGCAAGAATGAAGGCTAACACCTCTCCAGAGGTGATATAATCGACCAAGGAGTTATAGAAGGACTTCCCGCGGTGTTCTCCATAGAATTCTTCCGCTTCCGCCCGCGTCAGCCGCACGCGCCGCCGCTGCAGTGGTCAAACACAGGTCATTAAAGGTCATCACAGGTCATTTAGTCAACACAGGTCATTAAAGGTCAACACAGGTCATTTAGTCAACACAGGTCATTAAAGGTCATTCAAAAGGTCAACACAGATAATTAAAGATCAACACAGGTCATTTAAAGGTCAACACAGGTCATTTAAAGGCCAACACAGGTCATTAAAAATGCCAACAATGGTCATTTAAAAAGGTCAACACAGGTTGTTACACGGTATGGGGAGGTAAATGAGATACAGTAATTACTGCATAAATGGCTCAAAAAACCGACAAGGTTTGCAACACTTTTTTTTATTATGGAGACGTGGAACGTAACCTTTGTTACGGACCTTTATACAGTGAGACTGTAAAAGGTTGTCTTAAACTGTACAGAGAGGAATGTTCAGGGATGGTCAGTTACTGATGTTCTTTGGGGATAGTCAGTTATAATTGACTATCCGTGAAGACTAAGAATTAGCACTGCAGTAGGCCTACTGGCCCATGGTAGACTGGTCCAAGTCATCAGCTGACCTAAGACAGTCAGGTCTAAGTCATGTATGTCACTTTAGGAATGTGAATGAGATAGATGAATTAGACACATGTGCGACACTTGGGTGTCTTTATTGAGGAACGTTTCGCCACCCAGTAGCGAAACGTTCCTCAATAAAGAAGAATGGTAAAGATCAGGAGTTTGAGGTAATATGTCCCTTATCCTGGAGTCAATGTAATGAGTCCATTGATCTTTTCAAAAATGATGGAGTAATTACACACACACACACACACACACACAACCACACACACACACACACACACACACACACACACACACACATACACACACACACACACATATATATATATATATATATATATATATATATATATATATATATATATATATATATATATATATATTATATATATATATATATATATGTCGTGCCGAATATGTAAAACTGGTCAATTAGCAATAACTCATTTAAAATTAAGTCCTTTCTAAAATTTTCTCTTATACGTTTAAAGATATATTTTTTTCATTAATGTTAATGTAAAAAAAATTAATTTTGCACCAAAAGAATCTTAGAAAACTTACCTAACCTTATTATAACAAGAACAATTTATTATAGCCTAACCCAACTATATATATTTTAGATTTGTTTACAATAATTTAATACAAAACAAACACAGTGAAATAAATTTTTTTCGTTAGGTTCAGAATGATTTTGGCGAAATTATTGCATACACAGATTTTCGCTTGTCCTATATGGCAAGATGAGCGTTGCTATTTAAGCCAAGATCGCAAGTTGTGCCTATTCGGCACGACATATATATTATATATATATATATATATATATATATATATATATATATAATTATACACAGTAAGAGACATGCACCTCTCAGTACGTCAGTGTATATATCTTACTTGTAACCAGGTGACATTATTACAGCATTTTCGGGCATATAAGACGCACGATCACATGGGATATAAGACAGTGTTTTCAAGCAGTTGTAACGTAACGTTAGTAAACAACTGCTAAAACCTAAGATAAAGCCTACCCTTGACCCTGACCTTGAGCATATAAGGCGCAAGACATTTTGTGAGGGGGGGGCGCGCCTTATATGCCGGAAAATACGGTAATACCATCCAATATGAAGTCATTAGCGACTAATTGCTTTTCACCTTGTGCTTGTTAAATGCAAAGACACAGTGATCAATGATGGACAGTTGCAATTTGCAACGTATTGCTTAGTTAATTAAGCTTACAGTGACGAGATAGTACCACAAGCTTGTTATAATCTTCACTGTACAATTATTAAGTGTTAATTATCAGATTATTTTAGCCTAGGGGATAATAACTACATGTTTATTATTTTTTTAATTAGTAATATTTAGAAATAAACAAAAACATTAACAAAATAGTTTGTTGAAGACAAAATTGTGGCAGTAATTCAGACAGAAATATTTTTTTTAGCAATAATAATAATAAAGCAAAAACTAGGAAGAGACCAATAAAGTAAGGAGAAAATAGAAGTAAAGCCAGTTCTACTATTATTACTATTACTACTACTACTACTACTACTACTACTAGTACTACTACTACTATTACTACTATTATTACTACTACTACTTCTACTACTACTACTACTATAATAATAATAATAAAAACAATACAATAATAATAAAAATAATAATAATAATAATATATAATAATAATAATAACAATAATAATATATTATTATTATTATTATTATATATAATATTATATTATATAATAATAATAATAATAATAATAATAATAATAATAATAATAATAATAATAATATATTATTATTATTATATATAATATTATATATATAATAATAATAATAATAATAATAATAATAATAATAATATTATTATTATTATTATTATTATTATTATTATATATATATTATTATTATATATATAATAATAATAATAATAATAATAATAATAATAATAATAATATTATTATTATTATTATTAGTAGTAGTAGTAGTAGTATTCTATTCCCCGGAAGCTCTAAGCCCTTAGGGATCATGCAGGGCCTGGAGAAAAGCTCAGCTCCAGTTCCTCGGATCAAGAAGCAAAGCAGAGAGTAAGAAGAGTGCCCACGAGTATAGTTCTTACATCGACCACAGTGAAGCCTTCTTCCAAGATGATCTTCTCGATCTCAGGAGACTTGTCGATGGCATCCGGCTTAATGAGAGCCAGTGTCCGCTGGATCTTATCCGTAGCCATCTCTCTCTCTCTCTCTGTCCCTTTAATTGCACTGCTCGTTTATCCGAATTTTTCGATCGATTGGACTCAAGAGAGTTTGTTTCTTTCCCCTCTTCGGTTATCCAAAGAGCTTCGTTATCCGGACTAGTCGGTTACCATGAGGGTCAGAGTCCTTATCTTAAGTTGTCGTTTATCAGGTCGTCTCACCTATCCGAACTTCAATATCTTTTTAATATTTTTTATGCCAAGATTTTGGTTTTAACAGATTTCCCTAACCATCCATAATTATTAATAATCTAAATTATTGTCAGTCATCTAATTAATTCCTTGTTTGAATTATTATACTTCTTTGTTTACTTCCCAGTTATTCACGTCTCGCAGTTATCCGAATTACCTTATTCTCTTTCATTATTAATTGTCAGTCCACGAATCACCTTAAAAATAATTCTCAAAAGATTATATATCGATCTTTTTTTCATTAATTATCGTATTTACGAAGTCGTCACTGGCCGACGATTATTGCTTACTCAAAGGTCCCTCTTATCCGAAGCTAAAGTTCCAGCTTATCCAGGCTTTAGTCGATTATAAAACTCTTCTTATCCGGAATATTAAGCTTTCCCCATCAAGATATGTATCCGAAGTTCTCATTTAACCGAAGCTTAATTAAGCTGTACTAGTTAGTCCTCCTGGTGACTGTACCAACCCTGTTGGTGACTGTACCAACCCTGTTGGTGACTGTACCAACCCTGTTGGTGACTGTACCAACCCTGTTGGTGACTGTACCAACCCTGTTGGTGACTGTATCAGCCCTGCTGGTGACTGTACTAGTCCTGTTGGTGATCGTACTTGTCCTTCTGTTGACAGTATTAGTCTTGATGAATATACTAGTCCTCCTGGTGACTGCAGTAGTTCTAGTTACTCTTTGCTTGCTTTCACTAATTACTTGGCTTTTCCTGTGAGGGGGGTAAAAAATCAGTATTAAATAAATAAATATATATATAATATATATATATATATATATATATATATATATATATTATATATATATATATATATATATATATATATATATATATATATATATAATATATATATATATGTATATATATATATATATATATATATATATATATATATATTATATATACATCCATTAATGCTATATAAATGCAAAAATGCATACATAAATGTTTATAGGAATAGAGACATACAAGCATATAATAATAGAAATCAATACACATGGAGATGAAGAGAGAAAAAATGTTCTGTATATTCAGAACTCGGGGAGTGAGGTCCTTTTCAGCAGACTATAAAGAGTTAGAAAATATATCTTGTTTCTGTCAATCTCTGTCAGAATCAAACTATATTTAAGACATGCATGGGTGAGGCACTGAATGGTGCAATAGATAGTGTGTAGATCTGGCACAGTGCTGATATGATTTAGTACATTTAGTACACACAAGTAACAATAACTTACAGGAAATTTACATGTTACATCCTGTAATAATGTTGGTAGAATTACAGACAATATGTAAAGTAAAAGGACACAAGTGCAACTAATGTGACATTTTATTGTGGCAACGTTTCGCTCTCCAGGAGCTTTGTCAAGCCGTTACAAACAATACATGGACACAGAGGGTATATATATAGGCTCAGAGTGAGGTGCAATACTAGTTATATTTTCCTTCCTTTTTCATCAAAGACTGCAAGAAAAGAGCTCTTCAGATCCTTAATTCTCCACGCACCAACACCACTCCCAGCAAAGTTATAATTCTTCCCAACAGCCAGGTTGCACTGAACGTTTCTAAAGTACTTTCACAAACTAACACCAGAGTCGCCATCGCTTCGATAAAGGATCTAACCAGAACAAAATCAAAGCACCACGAAAAAGTCAATGCAGAGGTTTACACTATACCCTGTGGAGGCTGTGACAAGATTTACGTAGGTGAAACAGCAAGAAACCTCGACACCCGCCTCAATGAACACATTAACGCATGTAGGAACGATAACTTGAACAACGCCTGTGTACAACACCGAAATTCCACCAATCATCTAATGAAATTCAGGGACGCCCAATTAGTGATCGAAGAAACTAATTTCCGCAGACGCAAGTGCCTCGAATCAGCACTGATCGCTGTTTCGAATACAATCAAACAAAACAACGGCAGCTTCACGATCTCTGAAGTCATAGCAAGAATCCTTCTGAAAACAGTAAACCCTGCCATCACATAGTCTCTCCTGTTATACTACACAAAGCACATTACAGAGAGTGAAAACTGAAACAACCTGCCTCTATCCAGTCTATATTTGTCTAACCTATTTTTGTTAGGTAAGACACATATGCAACAGTTAGGTATCTTTATTTTGAAACGTTTCGCCTACACAGTAGGCTTCTTCAGTCGAGTACAGAAAAGTTGATAGAAGCAGAAGATACTTGAAGACGATGTAATCAGTCCATCACCCTTAAAGTTTTGAGGTGGTCAGTCCCTCAGTCTGGAGAAGAGCATTGTTCCGTTGTCTGAAACAATATGAAGTTGAAGTGACAGAATCGGGCCTTATATAGTGCCAGGAGGTGAGACGTAGGTTGATTTGGGAGGGCAGGTCCTTCTCAAACCCAGCCGTTCTCACTAGTAGAGGTAGTCGAAGTAGATGGTCTGTACCAAGATACCCTTGTGTTGCTGTGTCTGACAGAATGAACATTGAAATGGTATAAAATACCGACAGATTGTTAGGTAAGACACATATGCAACAGTTAGGTATCTTTATTTTGAAACGTTTCGCCTACACAGTAGGCTTCTTCAGTCGAGTACAGAAAAGTTGATAGAAGCAGAAGATACTTGAAGACGATGTAATCAGTCCATCACCCTTAAAGTTTTGAGGTGGTCAGTCCCTCAGTCTGGAGAAGAGCATTGTTCCGTTGTCAGACAACGGCCCGGTCACAGACCGGGCCGCGGGGGCGTTGACCCCCGAAACTCTCTCCAGGTAAACTCCAGGTATTTTTATGTTACCCAAGTAACTCATGTACGAATTAATTGCTCTACCATATTGTATTACTACTACTACTACAACTTATGTCACTACTACTACTACTACCACTAGTATTGCACCTCACTCTGAGCCTATATATACCCTCTGTGTCCATGTACTGTTTGTAATGGCTTGATAAAGCTCCTGGAGAGCGAAACGTTGCCACAATAAAATGTCACATTAGTTGCACTTGTGTCCTTTTACTTTACATGTTACATGTTAGCACAAGTACTGTATTAAGTGTTTAAGTAATGCTAGTACTGCATTAAGTGTTTTTTAAGTAATTCTAATACTGTATCAAGCTGGTTTTCAGTAATTCTAGTACTGCATTAAGCTGGTTTTTAAGTACAGTGGAACCTCGGTTTACGAATTTAATCCGTTCCCTGACTTCGCTCGTATCCCTATTTGTTCGTATTCTGAGTCAATTTTCCTCATTTAAATTAAATGAAATGGCATTAATCCATTCCAGCGGAATTCCTGCTTTTAGGAGACATGACAAAATACTTCCATATGATGCTAAAATCAACTCTACGGCTTATTTATATATCACAATTCATCTAATTTCACCATCACTCAAGGAATACACAACAGGTGCGTCATCGTCAGTGTTCAGCATTTCTTCGATGTCAGCTTCCTGTAACTCCATCAGCACACAGTCAAGATGAGTTGTTAGAATTGTCAACGCTTATTGCTTGGGTACGTGTATTCTGTTAGTGGTTGGATCTGTGAAGGACCTGCCTAGTATGAGCCAACAGGGCTACTGCAGTGTTCCTCCTTTCTAATGTTATTATGTACCCACGACACCAATCATACCCATCCCCTCCCACTCATATTTGTACAATATCTTTTTAAAGCTACCCAAGGTTCTATCGAAGCTAAAACCTTGGGTAGTTTCAAATTGGATGTGAGTGGATCCTGCACATGAGTAAATAGAATTATCAAAGCTTATTTCTTGGGTAGCATTGAAAATTGAGTTGGGCAAATATTCTGTTAGTGGGATGGATTGTGAAGGACCTGCCTAGTATGGGTCAACAGGCCTGCTTCAGTGTATTATTATTAGTATGTATTATAATAATAATAATAATAATATTATTATTATTAATTTAGGGAAGTGGAGCACAGACCCAACTCCCTTGATCAAGAGCCCCTCACCAAGAAACCTCCCTTGAGGGGAAAGTTCGCATCCTGAAATTTCGTTCGTATCTAGAAACAAAAAATCGATCGAGTGACTGTCCGTATCCTGAAAAATTCGCATGGTGGGGCATTCGTAAGCCGAGGTTCCACTTAATTCTAGTACCGTATTAAGCTGGTTTTAAGTAATTCTAGTACTGTATTAAGCTGGTTTTATGTAATTCTAGTACCGTATTCAGTGTTTTTTTTAAGAAATTATTGTTAGTCCGGTCTTGATAGTGTAATAGTGCTCATACTTAACAAGGAAACTTTCTATATGTATCAGGTAGTCAAGATTACAGTGGGAGGTTCAGTGTCCAGTGGGTGATTAAGATTACAGTGGGAGGTTTAGTGTCCAGTGGGTGATTAAGATTACAGTGGGAGGTTTAGTGTCCAGTGGGTGATTAAGATTACAGTGGGAGGTTTAGTGTCCAGTGGGTGATTAAGATTACAGTGGGAGGTTTAGTGTCTAGTGGGTGATTAAGACATAAGAACATAAGAACATAAGAATGTAGGAACACTGCAGAAGGCCTACTGGCCCATACGAGGCAGGTCCTTATCAAAACGACATCTACCTAAAGCTACTCAAGAAACAACTCCCGCTCCCCCCAACACCAATCAAACCCAGCCCCTCCCACTCATATATTTGTCCAGTCTCTTCTTAAAGCTACCCAAGGTCCTAGCCTCTATCACCCCACTGGGAAGACTGTTCCACGCATCTACAACTCTGTTAGAAAACCAGTACTTACCTATGTCCTTTCTAAATCTAAATTTATCCAACTTAAATCCATTATTCCTGGTTCTTACCTGGTTCGACACCCTCAGTACTTTATTAATGTCTCCCTTGTTTATGCCCGTCATCCACTTATACACTTCAATGATATCTCCCCTCATTCTACGCCTCTCCAGAGAGTGGAGATTTAAGGCTTTAAGTCTATCTTCATACGGGAGGTTCCTTACACAGTAAATCATTTTAGTCATTCTTCTCTGTATGTTCTCCAACGAGTCTATGTCCATCCTGTAGTAAGGGGACCAAAACTGAGCAGCATAATCCAAATGAGGCCTCACTAGTGATGTATAGAGCTGTAAAATAACTTTTGGACTTCTGTTACTTATACTTCTTGAGATAAATCCAAGTAATCTGTTGGCCTTGTTGCGCACACTGAGGCACTGCTGTCTTGGCTTTAGATTTCTGCTTACCATGACTCCCAAGTCTTTTTCACATTCTGTATGACCGAGCTCTACTTCACCTAGATTATAGCTTCGAGGGTTATTTTCATTACCAAGGGCAAGTACCTTACACTTATCCACATTAAACTTCATCTGCCATTTCTCAGACCAAGACATTAATTTGTTCAAATCGTCCTGGAGTTCATTGATATCCTCCTCAGAGTGAATTATACGGCCTATCTTTGTATCATCAGCAAACTTACTCATGTCACTAGTAATCCCTTCATCAAGGTCATTAATGTAAATTATGAACAAGAGAGGGCCTAAAACTGATCCTTGTGGAACGCCACTAGTGACTAATCCCCAATCAGATTTCACTCCATTAATGGTAACTCTCTGCTTTCTATTGGTAAGCCATGCCTCAATCCATGCTAGAACTTTACCTCCTATACCATGAGCTGCCACTTTTCTTAAGAGTCTCTTGTGAGGTACTCTGTCGAAGGCTTTACTAAAATCCAAATAAACAATATCATATTCCTTATCACTGTCAACTGCCTCAAATGTTCTATTGAAGAACGTCAGTAAG